CTTTCAGTATCTCTGTGTACATAAACGAGCAATCAAGTTTATCTAAGTTCTTTTCGGTCTGTTGAGTATCAGTTTGCATAAAAGTTATAGATATGGCGTCGCGTTCACAGTGTTTTGCAGTTGGTTTAAGCGCCTCGAATATAGCATGACGATCAATGGAAATCCTATTAATTTTATACCAATTTTTGACTTCTTCTTTCTCGACTGTTTTATTTTTAGAAGAAATAATAAGTGTATGAAGATGAGGAATATCATGTATCAGTGGCACTAATCGATAACATAATGAACTAGAGACGATCATAGCTGCAGTTTCTTTGGAATTATCTGTGAGAAAATCGATACATTTGTCAACATCAGTAAAAATTTCAATCGTATGGATGACATTTCGTAGTTGATCGATCGCATTGAGCCACGCTTCATTATCTTCATCAGTATCAGTGCGAAGCCAGATGAGCAGTATATTCTGTATCATACGTGCTTTCATCCTTTCTGCTATGTTTACCGGTGCGTTGGACACTGGTTGCGGAATGCCCAACTGGTCAGTCATTAAGTTTGCTGTGTTTGTGCGGTAGGCAAGCTAGGAAGTAATCTTGCTTGAGACTTGTTTTTTTCTTTCTGCACCTACGTAGTGATGCGCTGTTGGTCGTTATCAAAAGAAATGAATGAAAGTCTCTCAAAAAATTCGTCTCTACGTGCTTCAAAATAGTTGAAAACGTGTGTTTTATTCTTTTGCGCATTTCGTAGATGAATTTAAAGTGAAAGAAGCACCGTTTTTCATTGTCCACATCGTTGAGATAATAGTCAAAGAGAAAAATGTATAACATGGAAAATGAAGGGAAAGAAAATCACAGTTTAGCTATGAGTTTGTTGGATTTATCGATCGCCGTTGAATATAATGCAGCGAGTTCATCCCATCGGTTTCGTATTATGCTCGATAATGTTACTGCATTTTCAATAAATGTCAACCATATTCGTAAAATTCTACAACACATTCAGACGGAAATAAACTATTACTTATTTTAAAGTATTACATACTTCATTAAAAACGAGGAATATCTCGAGTCATTACATCGAATATAGTCTAATGAATAGAGAATAGTGGAACTCAAATAACTGATGAATAAAACTGATTGATGAAGATCGTCGTAGCTATGAAATAGAATTCCGATCCGAAATAGATGAAAAACAGACTCATAGTTACATATTGATAAAACGCTCGAAATTAGCACGTTGATTGGCTCGTAACTGTTTGGAATGATAAGCTTGTCCACGTGTTTTTAGAAATGTATCGACATTCGTTAACACTTGATGTATGTGANAGTGGAACTCAAATAACTGATGAATAAAACTGATTGATGAAGATCGTCGTAGCTATGAAATAGAATTCCGATCCGAAATAGATGAAAAACAGACTCATAGTTACATATTGATAAAACGCTCGAAATTAGCACGTTGATTGGCTCGTAACTGTTTGGAATGATAAGCTTGTCCACGTGTTTTTAGAAATGTATCGACATTCGTTAACACTTGATGTATGTGAACAGACAATTGTCGAATGATTGTGATCAGAGATTGTTCACTATTCCCATTCGTCGTTGTCTAAATTACTAAAATTGCAGTGACAATCTCTTTCAATAGATTTCTACCTTGTGAGGACAATATCGATTGATCAGATTTAAAGTATTTTCATTGAGAAATACTTCGATTGTTTGTATGGACATATCGTCATATAAAGATAGTTGGTCTAAATGAATTCCAAAGATGTCCAAGCGATGGATCATCTTCTTCCTTACCTAACGGGATGAATAATCGCCAAAAATCAATTAACTTCACCGGAAAATTGGAAATCTCGGTTGCATCTTCTCCTTCGATTGCTGCAGCACACTCTGGTATTCGTTGAAATTCAACAACGAAGTCACGCATCTCAAATACGATATCATTAGTAACAATATAATAAACAACAAATATAGCACTTGGTTTTTAGCGATAGCAATCGGATGATAGAAGACTTTGTAATTATCAACATAATCCAGAAGACGTTGACCATAATCATCCGGCTTTGAAAGACAAAAAAAGAGACAAGAAGCATACGAAGAGTTTCAGATTTCATTACGACGTACATGATTATTATATCGATACAGCAGTGCCAAAAATAAACTGAATTGGGCATCTGCAATCGATCGTGGCAGTTGTTCATAGTTGAATTCGCAATGACTTAACTTTGACCGAAGACAAACGCCTTCGGGATATGTGATCAGATCAGCTAGTAGACCCTACAAGTTACTCTTTGACATTAGACGGCATTTTATTTATAAAGTTCATTTTTGATACCATATAACCATGGCCTAGTTCACTGCAAAGACAATTTGCTTCACTATCTGATAAACAACAAGTCAAGATCTGAAATCTACTCGATTAAGAAAGTTGCACTGGTCAAATATGAATCATACTTCATCCAAAGTCGTGAACAATGTTGTGCTCTAAAAACACGAACAGCTTCATGAATTATGACTACCTATAAAGACAGAATGAACTAACCTCAGCTGTTAATAATCGCTCTGGGCAGTTATTAATTTGAACAAACAATTTTCGTAATACGTGTTCGAAAATTGGCAAGAGAAGCATCATACTCAAACCATACCTAGGCCACATGGAACGACAACGTACATACAAAATACACGTTCATTCACGTACTCGTTTTGGTTGTAGATATAGTCAATACTCGATTTCAGTAACGGTTTAAATCCACTGTCAATAAGTGGATGATTTTCAATTAGGTGAATTGCTGTCTCAGCATTCGGACAACGGGCATCTAAATGAAAGCACGATGATGTTAGTATAAACTCGATTGTCGTTTACCTGCAGGAAGAAAAGTATGATTTGCAAAACGTTCCAGTGAGATAAAGGGCCTGTCAGGCACTACTTTTCCATCAATAATCGGTCCAATTTGTATTAGCAAATATAACAAAAGGTAAGAAAATCTATGAAAGTACATTGACAATGAGTTGTGTCAATTATTGATGTACTTAGGTGAAACTTCATTGTATTGAACAAATCCATGCCAATAGATATTTCGTAAATTAATTGATTTTGGACTACCAATTATCAATTGTAAGATCATAGTCTACAGTTTCATGAAGATAGTATAACTAGAAGAGTGAGTTGCATTAGACTCACCAGATCAGAACCAAGAATGGAGGTGAGAGTAGACGATTCAACAATCTGCCGGAGGAGATTCGGCACCGTGTTTATCTCAGTTAGGAGCAACTATTAGGGGACTATAGAAAATATCAGCTGAAAAGCTACTGACATGACTTACATTACCGAGATTTCGTTCTGTGAAACAAGTTAAAAGCAGAGTAGCCAAATGAAGTTGATCGCTTTTCAAGAAATGAAAGATTCGAAACAAATCCTCCAAAACGAAAGGCCAAGTTATACCCATACAGAACTTATGTAACTATACTTTTCGATTAGTCAGCCATAGACAATGTCGATCATTATCATAAGAAGATCGAAATTTCTCTTCATTCATCTGCTTGAACAATGTTTCAATTTGTGGCAATATTCTCTTATCCAATCGGCGAACGGATTCTCGATAATTGATTCCGGATTCTAACGATACAGAAAACCATTTTCAATAAAATCTTTCTATTCAATCCGTACCATCAATCACTATACACTGTCGAATTTCTTCAATGGATGGTTCATATGGAGTATTACCGGACTCAAAAGGTGATACGCTTAGCAGCAAATCTCGAACTCCAGGTGACAGATACGTAATGTTTATCATATCTAAATGAACTAGAGATTTATAGATAGCTAATATGTTAGTTGCAAAAGCTTTTAAAACAGATTTATTAGAGGAATTTTTTTTCTTCTCGTAGACCTTCTACACCACATTCAACAAATTGGATGGATTTAACTGGATTATCTTTCAAGAATTCCAAAATTTGTTCCTTCGTAAATGTTGATGTCAACGCAATCAAACAACCTCCGCCGCCAGCACCAGTGATCTTCGTCGAAATGCTATTTTTCAATAAAATTTCAACAATCTGATCGATTTCTACTGTCGATACGCCCAGATGTTTTAATAATTGTTGATTTCGTTGAAACAATTCATCGAGTTCATCCGGATGTTCAACCATCGCATCCACGCATGTTGCAATATCATTTAAAATCTTTTCTCCTTCTTCAGGATTACTTTCCACAAACGATCGAACTAAACCAACCATTCGTTTCGTCGATTTGGGAATACCAGTATCGATGATAGCTAGATTCGATAGGCGAAAATTCAAGTGTTTCTTCGATGCTCGACTGTACAAAAGCGATTGACCAAATGTACTGATCGTATTGTCCACACCAGACGGCGTACCGTGAAAAAGACACTCGACCCTGTATGCTAATTCATTGATGTCTTCGAGACAGAGTTTACCATGACAAAGAAGATGAAAACAACCAACGAGACAAACACTGAACGCAGCACTAGAACCAAGACCAGCACCAATTGGAATTTCGGATCGTACTTCGATGTTGAATACACCCGATTCGGATAGGAATGACTTGAATTGATTATAGACGTGAATTACAGCTTGAACTTCAATCGTTTGAGTATCGGACGACTCATACAAATCAATCGAATAACGCTGATTTGTATCGTGAAGTGTGAAATTCAGTAGATGTTTCTCCGTTTGCTTGTCAGTGTTTTCATCCACAGCTAATTGCATATATAATCGTATACCGATACTTGTGACTAGAGCTCGTCGACCATAGACAACAGCATGTTCACCCCCGATAATTAATTTGCCAGGGGATGAAACGATGACAGTTTTCTTCATCTTCAATAACGTTATTCAAACAGTTCTTTCAAATGAAACGAAATAGAAGAAAAGATAAGAACAAGATAAGTTCGTACATCGTTCGATGCACGATATTCTCTCTTGAAAAGTTTACTTCATTACTTGGAGTCAAAGACAAAGATATGTCAATTTCCCGGTCTAATTTTAATTTTCAAACATAAAATACATATCTTTTTCAAATAAAATCCTCTCCGTTCATGGTTAACATTAAGACTGCATTAAAATTGCGGTTTACGTAATCGATATCTATCTGAGTAGAGAATAACTTGACAAAGAATAGCAATATCAATACTAATTTGTAACAGCCCACAAAGCCAAAATTGTTTTGGAGCACTGCGAAGAATGAAGTAGACAGTTTTAAAAATATCACCCGATGTCCACATAAGAACCTAAAGAAAAGACAGACGAAGATGAAAAAGATCGCACTATCTCGAGTTTACCATTTTAACACTCATTCCTTCCGTCGATTTCAACCGAAAGTTTCTCAAGAACTGTGGTGTACCTAGTAGAGCTTCGAAGAACACTGCTAAGAAACCAATTGTTTCTATATAGAATGAATTGTTAAGAAATAACCATGTTGTCGAGCCTAAGAAACAATCAATCACATAAGAAGACTCTCCTCTCAACGAATTTACTCAAAAGTAACGTAGATAACGACAAAAATTGCAAATAACTTGTGAATCTAAACGAAAACAAAAGATTCTTTTCCAGATTTTTCAAAGTCTCATACGTTGTCCACTTCCAGAAATGATTCATATTCAAATCCGTAAATCTCTTCTCCGCATAGTCCAATGGCGAATCTTTCGACAGTTGTTGGTTGACTGGCAGATGATGACGAAGCGACTTCGAATGAACTCGAATACACAGTTCAAGCATGACGAGCATGCAAATAATCATGACAATGGACTGCACCAATAGAGGAGTTTCGAAATGTTTACCGAACCAGAATTCGATACGAAGAATATTCGCAATTAATAGTGTTAGACAAACGTAATTCGAGAAACCTTCGGCATTTTGCGATCGTCTGATCATTAAATATTGAGGAATGTATGGCACAACACCTCCAAACTAGAAAATGACAATCGATCATGGGGAAAACGATTCTCTCGATACTTACGATCATTAAAGCTTCAGAAAATATCCGAACAGTTGCTGCGGCCAGTTCAGTAAGATCTGTCATTGTCATCGAACGAAGACTAAATAAAGATGGTTTCTATGGAAATGATTGACCGCTGACTTCAGATATTCTCAAAATTGTCTGAACATTGAACAAAGTAGTAGAATAGCAAAGAAGTACAGCGAACAATGACGAAACAAGTATACAAAGTTCATTTAGACATTCACAGAGAAGTCGAGTTTTTCCACAAGTATTTCGAGATGATTGGAGAACACTGACACTCACCGATCCTTCATTACTATTCTACTTTACATTCGATATGAATGAACGTCAGTTAGATCAACATTCGCAAATGCAATAGTTACTTGATTAATATCTAGACTGTTGTGGAAAATATCAAACGATTTTGTACATATAATGTGGTTTTTTGTGTCTAATGAAAAGAAAAACACATGACGATGAGTCAGAAGGCGACTGATTGGTGGGATTTGAAGGAATCGGAAACTTGATGGCAGCAGCTTCTATAATCAACGGAAATTTGTAAATATTCCGACAGAGCAATTAATACTAGTCTAATATTGATTCATTTTTATTTTGTATTCCGATCTCTATCGAATGCATCGAGAATACTGATGATGTACTCATTGATTCTTTCCCAATAAAAGAGAGATATAGTCTCATCTAATATTCAAATTTGATTTATATCTGGCTTCCCGAAAGAATAGAGAGAAGATTGATTATCTTCTCTTTTCTTCTTCATAACTCTCAATACTCTAAGGAGATTTTCGTACTCTAATCTTTCAGAAAAGAGATTATCATAATAGCGACCTTCAATGTCCATTCATATTCGAAATAATTACTGTGTAAATATCTTCCGAATGCATTTCGATCGAATTCGACGCCCTATTCCTAAATTTGTACTTCAACTGTTTACATATCCTTGAGTAATCGCTGACGTGTATCTTTTCTTTTTGCCTTTCATGACACTTATTGCTTGATTAGTTTACAATGATACGATCGTCATCGTATTTACCTAATTGTCGTAAGCATTTTTGTTTCGTTTGCTTCTAACTGCAGAAAATATGAATAATTATACAGTCCATTTTTAGTAACGATCAATGCTTTCCAGTGCACTTTGTATCAAAACATCATTTTTTATGACGATCACTACTGTTTCTTTTCTTGTGGCGATGGTGTGATAAGAAACAATGTAGTGCATGACAGTCCGAAAGGAAAAAAGAACATGCATTGATTCTTTGCACTGTTTACCACCGATTTACGTAACAGGAATTCAAAGTGTAATAAACAAAAAACATGCGTTCTCTCGAATTTCTTTCCTTTCGCAATGACTGTGATAGTGCACGTAAGTCGTCGAAGAGCTATTACATACGAAAGAACACCTAGGCGAGGTTATCAAGTGAAAAGAGAAGAGAGTTGTTCTAATAAATACAAAACTTGTTCCTAGCGGACGAAAAAACGACCTTTAGCTCTATTCAATCATTTCTTTCAAACACAGGAAAGAAAAAGACAACGACAATGATAGTCTTTGCGCTCGTCCTAGAATTGCGCACGCAGAGAACTGTCGTCACGTTAAAGCAGACACGAGCAGCATACATGACTCATCATCGCCATCATAATAGAAAGAAAAAATCGTCTAGAAAGAGAGAGAAAAAAGACGAACGAGGCCTCACTCCGCACATATATATATAAGGATGAAGAAACGTATTCAAGAAAGCAATTGCTACACGCGCATACAATACGAAAGGCCATTAAGTGCGAGTATAATTTTCTGCTGACATATTTTCAAATCTTTACAAACATGGTACGCGAAGTTGAGATATTATCCAGTGAATATGGCAAAATCGAACATCTTGCATCGAAGATCGCTGCTGATGATGGTATTCAAGTTGACGATTTGCCATTAAAAGACGATGTTTCATTTAAACATCGATCCAGCATTACCGACGATGAGTCTGGTTATTCAGAAACAACAACATTATCTGCACGTGCATCACCAGTTCAAACCGTTGCTGAACAAGATTATGAATTAGCAGCCACAATATCCGACGATTGTAAAAAAGAATTCTGCTCTGATATGTGCTTAGTATTTCACGCTGAATTTCAACTTACATTTGGACGCTATTTTAATTCACATTCATGGGTATTGATGCCGTTGGGTACAGATGGATCATGCAAATTACCACCTGATACACTATGTGATGTTGAAATAGCTAAAGTACGTTTTGAATGTGATTCATGTAACCACTGTTGGACGTCGATGCGTGGACAAATATCATTCTTTTATGATTGTAAATCTCATATTTTATATTTCAAATTATTCACACAAAATTGTGATCGATGCGGAGATATTTGTTCACCATTATGGTATCCCGAAGAAGTCTGCCGTGTAATTAAAAACGTTTTCGTTATCGTTCAAGAGAAAATCTATCCAGACTTAGTCACTCCAATCAAATCAAATCATTATCGTCGTTTCGGCAATCCAAAAGGACAACATCATGGATGTGAATCATGTCGAGATGGTGTCTGTGTTGCCCTGGCTGCTCAACAACTCGGCTGTAAACTTGTTAAATAATAATCATATACTTCTTTTGCTAGAGTATAGGTGTCCTCGGTATACATTCTCTCGGTGTGTCTAGTCACCTTGTTTTCTTCTTTTCCTATCTCGGTATTATCTATAATGTACATACATGTAGGAGCACATTATGTGTACTTCGTTTTTCTCTTCTTGTACGTGTAATTTTTAAAAAAAAAACTTTATCTAGACTATAGATTTTTTTGTCTTCGTCGTCTTTATTCATTTGTTTTTGTTGCTATTGTTTATTACGCATTTTTTTTTGTTTGTTCTGCATTATTTACAAAACGTATAAATAGTTATTACATAATTATCTTATTTTTTATCAGTTGATATTTCATCAGCACAAAACGAATAGTGCATTCTCTTCAGATAGCATCAAATCTAATAATTCACAGATACTATCTCTGTAGTGTCCTTGTTAATACAGTCCGTCGGTCACAACTCACATCTGGTTTAGTACTTCGATCGGTTTAAAACGCGTTAGAGTACATTAGTATGATAAATATGTTTTGTTTGAAAAGCATCAAGATTGCCTTTGTACTTGCTGTTATGCATAGGTCATATAGTAGAAGTAGAAATCTTTCTTCCTGCTTTATCATTTATATAGAACCAATAAGAAACGACCGCCTGTGTGTGTGTATGCGCGTTCGCTAGTGAAATAAAGCGATAATAGGAATAACAACACATGGTATTTCTACAATAAAGTCAGGAAAACAACATCAATGACATTTATTTAAAGACGATTTGCGATTGTGAATTTCTTTTCCGAGAGAATTTATTCTTGACCTCATTTATTTATAGTTAACGGGGAAGAATACTAAACTGCCTTCCATTCAAAGGCCTTAATTGAGTAAAGCAGTTAATTAATATAGAACATTTCAAATACTTACTTCCGGTACGGAAGCAATGAACGTAACTTCAAAGAGCAGAAAAACATCTGACTGATAAAAATAACTAACGTCATCTATTCGCGTACGCATAAGTCACCGCAGAAACCGAAAAAGTGATGAAGTGTGTACCATTGATTGATTGTTGTTGAAAAAAAAGTTAAAGGAAAGAAAAATTATGAACACTTCTCGTTCACTTCGCCATCAAAACGACTTGACAGATTCATGCGAGCTACAAATCTGCTCGATATATATGTATCGGATTCTTTCGATTTCTACAGCTTCATTTACACTTGTTCTTTTATTTACAGATTTTTTTCAAAACCAACACAACTTTTCGCCTATAGTGACATTTCTCCATCTCTCTCTCTCTCTGATAGTTGAATCGGCGACGAGAAGAAATCATAAATCTAAACAAAATTCGCGATAGAGTATGTTGAAATAATTTATATGGATTGATTCGAGACTGAGTAAGAAAAATATTTCATCTTTCAGATTGAGATTCAATGTCAAATCAATTTGAACGGAGACCACTACATGATGATTTGATCGACGATATTATTGAACATCAAACAGTTCCACAGTCGAACAAATCATCGTATTTTCTCGACAGCGCGAAAACCACGCAAAATCGAACGCATGAAAGTCTTCCAACAGTGTTCAATCGACCGAAATTCGATCCAAGTGAACATTCATTTATACCTGTAAAAGCTGAGCGACCGCAAATTGCCGCATCAACATCGCGCATTCAACCCTCATCGATTCTGATGAGTAACGATGAACGACGAAAAGAAATTGATCGCATTATCCAACATTTATACAATGGGAAATTATTAACCAATAACAACGAAGAGTTTTCAGGTTCAGAATCATCTGAACCACCAGTACGAATTCTGACTAAAGAACCAACTGCGACAAATGTCATTGTAGTACCTGCATTGAAATTTAATGACGAAAAGAAATTGAATGAGGTAAGCAACTTTCGATGTTCCCCTCAAACCAATCGTCTGGAGGCCAATGTATGCTTTTTTTGGAGACTTACTTGTTTTTTTCTACTTTTAAACCGATGCGAAGGAGAATCATCAGCTAAGGACTAATCGGACTGAATGTAAAGACTTGACTGGTACTTCTCGGTCGAAGACCTATTAAAGTAAAACAGTGATTGCTCACACCGCAATTGAGTCGTCATCAATTTCAAGTTTTCTCTCACCTTGTACGATTTGTTGCAATTTCCTTTCGGTCTTTGGGTAGTTACCTGCACTTGATGCCGATGTTACATCATTACAACGCGAACTCAAAGAAAAAGAACTTGATATAACACATTTACATAATGAAATTCAAGAATTACAACTTGAAAATAAGTTACTTAAAGCTAATGGTAGTGCATCTGTTTATTTAAACGTATGTTCAAAGCAGATAATGTATCAATATGCGGTTTTCGTTTACTTCGCTAGAATAACAATGAAAGTGAAGTACTTCGACGCGAAAAGGAACTTCTGAAGAATCGATTCGATGAAATCAATTTTCAACAAAAGGAGGTTTTCGAGAAAAAACTAAGTTCGTCATTGTTCAGCGAATTTCAATGTACATCTTTCTATGCTTACTTCGTTTTCTCATTGAAGAATCAGTGGAGAAACATATGATGATGTTAGCAAATGAAAATGATATTCTAAAACAAAATTCTCATCAATCGGAACGAGTTATTTTACAATTAAGACGAGAAAATGAAGAATTACAGCAAAAAGTAAGTCGTCTCGATAAAGATTCATCATTTCTCTTTCGTTCTCGTTCGATAGGTAACTGAAGCAAAGAAACGAAATGATGAACTGTTCTATCAAGAATTTCACTCATTGAGAAACAATCTGAAGTATGACGAACGATTTTTATTCGTTTATCACGATCTCCAGATCGTTGTTTTAGAGTGTTGAAAGAACGAAACAACGAATTATTCCAGGAAAATTTACGTTTACAGCAAGGTCAAACATCGTCCATTACTATCCCGCATTCAACAATTCACGATCAACAACAAATTCCTCCAAACAAAGTTCCCAATGTCGATTCGAAGCCTTGCAAATGTAAATACACCCGTTCTTCAGCTTTTTAACTTACCCATTCACTTTCAGCGTTGACAGACGAAAGTCCTTACATGTCCGAAGGAAGTGAATCCACAAATTATTTGACCACTGTCAGTGTTGATCGTTACAATCCTCGATCAGTAGCATCGGTCTATCATTCGGCAAAGATTGAGGGAAACAATCAACACCGTACAACGAGATACAACGCATTGAATAAACGTGACGATATTATTAATACAAATATAACCTCAATTCCTTTATCGAAATCTTTCGATCAACCATTGCATTTTCGCTCATCAAAGTCGAAACGTATAGCTGATTGGAATGAACAACTTCATTCAACGAACGACGGTACATTTCTTCTCTCCAATCAAACTCTCATTCTGTCTTCGTTTTCTTTTAGCTTTCTATCACCGAGGTAAAGTGTTTGTATTACTTATAAAACTTCAATGTTTGCATTAGACACAACTATTTACAATGATGAACATCCAACCAGAGACGATCCGGAAGTGTCAGCACAAGTTTTTCAATCATGTTTTGCCACACATCGAAATCTCGTCTCGAAAAAAGAACCACAATCCTTTTCTCGCAGTTCATTCAATACGAATGTGACTAGTACATGTATTTCTTCATTCTGTGAAGCTGTCCTTCAACACTATTCGTCTAGTTTCAGATCGTGCACCACCTCGAGTAAATACTATCATTACTAGGTGAGACTGAACATGTGATCGAGTGGCGTTTGATATGAGCGAGTTTTTATTGATAGTCCGAAACGTCCGTATGCACCATTATCAATCAGTGACATTCACGTGGGTGATATAGTGAAATTCTCTAGACAAGGTGGTAAAGTAAGTAAGGGAGCAGTGAAATATATCGGTTCGTTACCTGGTAAAAATGATCAATATCTCGGATTAGAATTAGACAACGAAGGTAAAGTTTTCTAAAGAATTTATCAAGAGAAATTTTAGCGTTGATTTCCTGTGTAGAAAGCAAACATGATGGCGTTTACCAAGATCAACGAATCTTTCAATGGTAAGATTAAATCGAACATCTTTGTGTACGAATCATTTTGCTGTTTAGTAAGCAAAATAAAGGAGTGTTCGTTGGATTCAACAAAGTGATTATGGCATGGAGCGAACAGTAGATTTCGTCAATGTACAGCATTTCATTGCTTTTTACCAAAACTGTTCATTCGTTTGTTTTTCGTATCAATTAGTATGAGCTATTCGAAGTTTTTGAAGTAAGAAAGAAAATATCATCAGTTTATTTTATATGTATGCAAAAATAAAAGAATAGATCAACATTTTTACCAATCGCATTTTTGATAATCTTTCAAGAAGCAGCCGTATGGAATGTTAATATCAGTTTTTCCTTCAGCAACTTGCCGATACGTATCAATGATCGGATCGAGAACACGAGCAGCTGCATCCTCTTCATCCAGCGGTGTTTGAAAATCACGTTCGATCATAGTTTTATAAGCTATGCCGAGCGGTTTTTCATCATTGATCCAACCTGTATCAACGGAAACCATATAAATGTTGGATTTCTTATAGTCACTTGCGGATGTTCGTGTCATCATATTCAATGCTGCTTTTGCTGCGTTGGTGTGAGGATGTCGACTGGTTTTATTTTTGCGTGAGAATGAACCTTCCATAGCTGAAACGTTGATAATGAACTTCGCACATTCCGATTCAGGATGTTTGTCTACCATGAGAACTTTCAATTTACTGTTTAGAATAAATGGTGCTAAGGTATTGATAGATAGCACTTCGGCAACTTCTATTGAAGATAGATCAGCAAGACGTAACATCCATGAATTCGTTGGACGAAAATCAATTAGTTGGTTATTGACATCGAATGATGTAGTGTTGATAAGTGATGAAGACATCGAGTCATTGAATGTCGATGATATTGGTAACGATGTAGGTGCATGCTCAAGAAATTGAGTAGAGAATGGAAATAATTGTTTGTAAAATTGAAGATTCCCGTCAACAATCGTTTGTTGATCGAGCGGTAGAAGTGCATAGCTAGCCAGTCGTTCATGTTTAACTAAGTGTTGATAGAATTCTTGGGGACGTTGAATAGTTTGACAAGCATTATTGATTAAAAAGTCTAATCTATCATATTTCTCAATAATCATTTGAGTAAATTCTTCAATTAATCGTGCACAGCGGAAATCAACCGCATAAATATGTATACGTGATTTCCATTCATCGAAATCGCGCTCTTTGTTCAGTCGATTCAAGAAATCTATCGGAAATCGGCTGGTGGCAATAACGAAGCAATTGGCTCGAAGTAATTTTAACACAATTCGATAGCCAATTTTTAATCGACCACCAGTAACTAATGCTATTCGTTTGGAAAGATCAGATGTTTGGTTACGTTTGGAGAAATTCAGCGCAGCACATGATGGACAAAGAGAATCATAAAAGAAGTGTAATGTACGAAATTTAAGTTTACATATATAACACGGTATGGATTTAAGGAGTCGTTGAGAACCATTTGAAGATGTTATTGCTGAAGTTGGAACGGTTCCGTCAGGCACCAGAACATGCTGCAATTGAAGTTGTTGCAGTTTTTCTGCACGACCAGCACGAAGTAAACAACTATTTTTTGCCTTTGTATCTGTTTGTCGTAGTTGGGCACGGTGATCAACTAGTCGTTTTCTTTTTAGTCGTTTCTGTATATGGAATAAACTATGCAGTACTGGTTGCAGACGATCATGTATTGTGGACTCGAGTTGAGAGTAAGCTTTGTGGGATGCAACTTTTTCCAAAACTCTGATACAGGTTTCTAAATCTTCTGAGGAGACGGACGGTGGTATAGGTTCGTCGATGGACATTATGAATGTTTTTTTTTCTGTTGAAAACACGCAATCTTGTTAACGTTTTTATTCTATATACTTCGATGATGCAATGACAAACACATGATGATGTAGCGTCATGCAAACCTACTGCATAAACAGAGTGTCTCACTGAATATAAATGTAATTTCACAAGACGGATATGACACAATGTACATTATTCACAAGCAGATATTTGATAGCTATTTCAATCAGATCGAGACGAGAGAGGTGTTTTGCACTACTTTCCAGATGATACTCCACGAGATCGGTATCGTGATTCTTTTCTTGTAACGCACGTCTTGTTTAATCGACGTAACGTGATTCGATGTTACTCAACATCATTATTTGTTGAAAAGTTGAAATCGAGAAGATGGTTGTTAAGGAAATTCACGCATTTCTTTGCTTGTAACCAAATACCTCCGTTGCCAGCTAATCAATTCTTATCAAAAAGATTCAACACCTTTTCACATTACTTCAAATTCATTTTCGAGAGAACAACATGTCGAAATATTTCATCATTATTCTATTTCTCATTGCAAGTAATTGCACAATACATTTTTGGCTGGCGAACCCTAATAAAGTTTCTTTCTAGTTAATATCGTACCTACAAATGCCGTAATACGTGTTTGCAATGATGGTGCCTACATCGCAAAATGCTACCTAGAATCCCGATCGCTTAATTTTGGATTTCGGATCCGTCGTCAAGACACAGGACTGTTCCCTGTCGCACAATGCGCAACAATGGACGTGCCTATTGAAGCTTTCTGGAATCGATTGGAATGTAAAGAGTTGGCATTTATTGCAATATACAAAAGTATATTCGTTCAAGAATTCGCCTCAGCAATGTATGACTACTGTTACAGAATTACGGGAACAACACTAGATCCACGGTGGTCTCAGACGGAATGTTAACTGTTGTAAATATGTGTCTTTCGAAATAAAAAGGAATACTTCTTTTCTCGCGCTACGAAATGGATAGATTTGTTTAGAATTTGTGCAGAGACGGATGTGCGCTTTTCCTCTCACGTGAAAGATTGATGATCATATAAAGAGAGAATATGGGAGAGTAGCGACGCGCTAATAATCAAGAAAAAAAGCTTTTTTATCAAAATCCATGACGCGTATCAAATGAAAATATAAACAATATGAAAAGACAGTCATTATCTATCACGACAAAACACTGATGAACAAGGAAATTCTTGAAACCAAGACAGACAAAGTACACTGGATCGTTTGTTCGAAATTCGTCAGTAAGTCTAGGAAAGCAGAATGACGTCCATGCCGTCCAGTCGACAACTAGTGTCATCTATAACCAATTGATGTGTTAGATGTAGAAAAGCCACAGATTAGACAGACAATATGTATCGTTGAATGGGTAACCATTTGAGAAAAAGATTAACAAGCTAGTGAATCAGTCCGAGTTCGATAGTGGAATTTCATTTTTATCTCGAAAAGTGTTATTCTTCTTACTAATTTGTCTTGCTGTTTTAGGTTTAGTTTAGATTTCTTTTTTACACCGGTGAGCAAAGAAAAACAATCCGATCTATTCAACATGACGACCAGTGATGGTGTCACAGTGCGTCATCCACCAATCTCAATCAGTGATATACATCCGCGTTTAGATATCGATACAATATCAATTCTAAGCTCTCAATCTGATAGTATCCAACATTTATCCTATAATGAATCCGACGATGAAGGCAAAGGCTTAGTTGGCTCGACTAGTGCACGTCTACATGATTCGATTAACCAAACATACCAGCCATCGGCGTTAAAAAAAGATTGGATTATGTATTTAACCAAACCGACTGATAGTAACCATGCTAAACATCATCAGAGTTCGAGTGATAATGAATCATCATCGTCAATATCAGACGGTGACGATGATGACGACGAAAGTGAACAAGGTTATATTGAAGATCCATGGACCATAAATATAGTTCAGCGCGAATATTACACTAAACAATTTCAAAATCTTCAATCGGATATCACTAAAGTTATTAATGGTAAACCAGTTTGCTTTCTTGTTGTTCTTGATATTCAATATTCGATGGACTCTTCATTTAGGTCATATAGCAAAAGAATTTTTCGAACGTTCGAATTTACCGACAAGTGAATTATCTCAAATTTGGAATTTGTCTGATGTGAATCACGATGGAGCGCTGTCATTAGCAGAATTCTGTACAGCTATGCATCTTGTTGTCTTGCGTCTCAATGGCTTTCAGCTACCCGATGAACTTCCTTCACAATTACAACCGTTTACACCATTGATCGATCTGTCCGATAGCACAGCAACCGATAATTGGGCAACGTTTCAGCAAAAGACCGATTCGCCTAAACAATTCACATACGCACAACCGATTGCGGATAACCATCGAATAGTTGCACCTGTTGCCGTTCGTTTATCACCTCCTCTCCCTCCTCCGCCGCCACCGCCGCCTCAGTCATCGGCGCCGGCTCAGACAACAAAACCACCACCACTTCCACCTCGCACCAGTGTCAATGACACACCTCAACGAAACCTAAATAACAATACATCGACTAATACAACGCCTCACCTTTATAATCGGACGCGTCCATCGATGACTTCACCGCCTGTTCATCAACAATCAGATCCAAATGTTTTACTTGGACAAATTCGTGATCTACTTCAACCTGATCATTTACAAGAACTATCTTCGATTATATCGACATCGTCAACCAGTAATGAACAATTCGATTCAGCGTTAAGTCAAGTTAAAACTCGTAATTCAATCCTCAAAGCACAATTAAAACATTGGGAAGATCGACTAACAGATTTAATTGATAAAAGAATTTCGCTAGAACTGCAATTGAAAGTACAACAGCAACATCACCAATAATAGATTTCGAAACCTCTTTTTTTCTTCTTTTTTTCGTATCAGCGAGTTTCTTACGTCCATACGCATATGTGTATAGAAAACTGAATCTTGTTCGATTCAATCGGCAGTGTTTTTCTCTTTGCTCAATGTGTAGCTTTATGTTCTGTTCGTGGTTTTTCTTCTTCAGAAGAACAACTATCTATACTTTCCTTCTATTTCTTACAATCTTATGCTCATTTTGTCAACACGTGTGCACATTTATTCTTACATACACACATTCATATACATACATATATTCATTTAAACTCATTTGCCATTTTTATCGGGTGCACAACGAATATGATGTTGGTATAAGAAGAAATTTCGACACAATTCGTAAACGATGTGATTGCAAGGTAATGTTCTCGAAGACGAGTCTTTGATTTAGACATTAAATGATATGTGAATGCCGCGAATGAAATTATTGGTTATACATGGCAAATTTTCGTCTTCTGAAGAACAGTATATTCGATGTAACGTTGATTGAATTTGTCAGCTTATTTTTAAATAAACATTCTCATAAACATATATATTTGTGTTCGATACAGAGAGGCTAATTCGAAAACAATTGATCTTGTTTTCTTCCTTTCCGTTATAGATATGCTGTCATTTTTTCGTCTGAGATGCTCTTCGATTCTGAGCTCGCCAGTAGGTATGCGATTCATGCGAATTAATTTAGAATGACAGAAGTGCGTGTCGTCTTGTTTAATCTAGTTCGTTATGCATCATCGAAGAAGAAACATATTACTTCACAAGCACCTGCTCTTCGTCATAATTGGCTGGAGATGTCATCTGAACTTTGCCCTTTGGACTCGTCCAATCTAGCAACGGTTCCTGATTCAACGTTTAACTTGCGTTTGATTCAATATCTCTCTGATTCTATCAAAATGCCGCTAACGGCGAGTGTTCAACAGCATCTCTTAACTACGTTTCAAACATGGTCTTCTCAAGAACTCTACGATTTGGTATCTATTCTTGGTTCATATGGTTTACAACCTGTTGATACTCTTCGTTTGCTAATCAACCTTCCATCTGCGGACAAAACGATTGTGAATGTTGAAAATTTGAAACAATGTTTCGAAAATCTCCTTCAATTGAAATTCGACACAACGACTCGATCGATTCTGTTATCCAATGATCCGAATATCATTCAATACGATATGAGTTATTTTCGCGAACGTTTCGATGTTCTCATGTGTTATTTCACCAAACGGGAAATTTCTAAATTAGTTCGTACACACAAGAAGCTTTTCAGTGAAAACTGGCCGGATTTAGATTATAAAATCAATTATTTGAAGATTATGCTATTTGCTTCAACACGCGACATTGTAGAGTCAGGCGCTTTAGCTCATGCGATTGATCATATTCGTCAGCGATATTTATTTGTTTATCGCGCGGGTTTATTCAAACGTGTCCGACGGCAAGAACAATACTTTCAACAGCGTGATTTGAACATTAGTCTATTCGATATATTCAGCACAAGTTTATCAACTTTTCTAAAACGGACAACGAATAATCTTCTTCGTCCGGAGGATTATCAAGCATTTGTCGATTCGCTTCAATCAGAAGTATTCGACAATGAATTCGAGCAATATTTAACATTGAATAATCTGCGAAAGAATTGGTCAAGAGAAATGATTCGCACGGAAAAACAAGAAAGACGGCACTGGATGAGTGAACTCGATATGTATAATAATTTTGGTGACGAAGAAGAGGAGGAGGAGGAACGCAGTTTAACGATTAAGGACGAAAAAGCACTAGCATTGAAAAGTGATGAATCACAGTCGAGTTTATGGCATCCACTATCAGATTATGATCCAGATCGACATCGTCGACGGAAACTTCGACAAAATATTGATCCTAATCTTCGAATGTAATAAAAATGTGCTTTGTTTTGGTTTTCAGATAGAAAAACGAATCGTTCATGGCAGCACAGATCGCCAATCTACCAAGTCTACTAGTCGGTCGGGTGCTCACAAAAAGCAACACAACAACCGCCATTGTTCGTGTTTTACAAATGAAACTCGACGATAAATTCGATATGTTTTTCAACCAACGTAAATCCGATGGGAATCGTAACACATGTGACTAACTTTTCTTTTATAGGGATCGATTATAAAGCATTCGATAAACGTGAACAAACCAAGGTTGGAGATATCGTTCTACTAAAACGACGACCAATACTTGAATGTCGTTATCCATTAGAACGCTATGAAATTAGTGAGACTGTATATGAACTTGGACGAATCAAAGATCCACTCACTGGTCGACGATGTAATGGACTGCGATATCTTGATGAATCTTTTATTGCTAATGATCGTGAAAATCAATTGAATCGTCCAAGTTCAGCATCCATACCAATCAAGTCAACTGAATAAATGTTTCTTTTTTTTTGTATTCAGTTGAATAGAAACTTTAGAATATCATTTTTCAGATGAATAAAATGATGTTTTGGATTCTTTTATTCTTTTTCAATTCGGTCACTGCTGAAACTCCAATGGAAAAGTTTAAATTGTGTCAGAGCGAGAAATGTATTCTAATGCAATGTTATTTTCCTGTTTGTAAGTCAAGAAAGCTCTCAGAACGTACTGTCTTCAATACATTTTCTTAGCTGAATTTCTGAATGCTACACGAAACGAGTTGAAAATATTTGAAAGTTTCATCGAGTCAAACCATGTATTTGTTAGTTATGTAAGCTTAATACTCATCGTATCAGCGATAAATGGGCTTGATTTCTCCTATTTTAGCATCTATGCGAGGAATTGTCCGTGGAGAACATCGATGAAGTTGGTGCATGTATCTACAATGTACTCTTCAAACTCTATCAGTGAGGAATTATGAAAAAACGCTTGTGGTGTTCAGTTAGATTTCGATAGGTTTGATGCGAATTTGACTGTTCAACAACGAATACATGTTCAAGCAGCACAAATACAGGATGAATCGATAGCTGTGGTTTTCGATATGATGTAAGATTATTATTGAAGAATTGATACGCAAGATGTTTGTTTGAGTTTTCTCAGATCGAGGATTTTGTATCGTGTCGAATCTATTAATAATCCGGATGAATTAACAAGTTTTATCGATAGATCGAAGAGAGAAGAGGCCGTTGTTGTTATCAATGCTCAATCGCTTACACCAAGAGGTATCTTCAAGTGATGTATGCGGGTTCGAACTGTAAAACATGTATTTTAGAACATCTGAAAGTCAGTCGGATTATATTAAACTATGGGCCGTGGTTTACTTTTGTCTATTCTGTTGTGGTGTAAGCTAAGCTTAGATTTTCTAGAAGAAATATGTCTTTTTTTTCTAATTTTTATAGAAGTAATGAAGAGAAAGGTTGCATGTATCAGATTTATTCGTCAAACAATGAAGTAATTGCGTTAAAATGTGACCTGGAAAATGATATTCGAAAAAAATTGGAACAAATGGTTGAAACAGAACCCGAATCGATTCAATCCTATTCTGATTTGTCACATGTAAACGCTTTTTCAAGATCTTTGCCAACATTATTCTGTATTCATCGTAATCCAAGATTTACTCCAATATCCAATAAACGTATCAAAGTCATTCCAGTCGACATGTAAGAAGAATACACTACTATACTAAAAGTGCAAGTATACTCTTAGATTCAAGTTTAAATTGGTCGATATTCAAGATCATACGTTGTTAATGGCACCTTTCCCATTCTATCTGTATTGGTCTGTGAAGAAAGTAAAGCAGAAATTGGTGGATAACTCTTTTCGAGTTCATCTTTCTGTTTTCCAGAATTCATTCCAACGTCTCGGTGATCAACCATCTGATGAACTTATCGACATTTTACTTCACGATGAAGAGAAGCATGATATGAGCAGTAAATTATCGTTGATTCACTAGTGCTTGCATCTCCGCTTTCTTATAGATATGTATGGCATGATTGACGATGAAGTTCGATACTTAGCTGATAGTCTGAATGAAATAGAAGTCAATCCTAAAGTTCGATTTCTTCAAACTGAAGATGATTACTATCGTATACGACGAACTTTTCCGAAAGCTGCCATTCTTTTCACAATCAGATGGGATTCAACATCGAAGTTAGCACGACGAACATTTCATCGTCTAGCATGGCATCTGCATACGTATTTACCTATGGTTGAGATCGATTGTTTCGATTGGACAGATCTGTGCGAAAAGGAGAGTATTATTCAGTGGCCAACATTAATTTTAGCGGAAAATTTAACAGAAAGTAAAACATATCGAGGAAGTACAAATGAACAAGAAATGAAGTTAAAGTTATTCCGGTATTTGAAACTTTCGTTCTAGACTTTGCATATCGACATAAATCTCGTTTAGATTTGCTGTGAATCAACCGTATGAAATCGTAGATGAATTGATCACAATGAACCTATTGAATTCTCAGCGTGTCATTGTTCTGGCTATGATAAAACATGAAGAGAAGTTTTGTAAGTACAAATGATTAAGTTTTCCTCTTCTTGGTATTATCGAAATGTTTGTTCCAGTGTACGAAACTTATAGAAAGCTAGTCGATATGTTTCGCGATAACGAACAGATCTTTTTTGTTTATGAATACACGACTGAAAGGTAGACGAATAGGTTACGGGATTCTTGAATGATTCAGATTGCATGATTTATGTGAGATGAAGTTCAAAAATGAGATTTTTAGCTCATCGTTGATCATCAAACAGACGTATGGGGATGTTAAATCATCGTTTGAGCCGAAAACAACGACTTATCCGTTAGATGAAGATCTAAATCATCTGCAAATATTAATTAACAATGCTCTACGAATTCAACTGGTTTGTTTCGAAATTCTTTCGATGAAAACGATTTCTACAAAGTTTTCTCTTTCCAAGATTCCGTTCAATCCAGTTGATTTCCTTCAATTAACATCAAGAACATTTATTGCTGCCAGTCGTTCTCAACTCTCTCGATTGAATAACTATTTCCAGTCAGAAGATTCGATTGATGAGATTCCCATCGTTTGGATCGATACGTGAGCAAATGTATTCCACTACTTCACCTCTAATAATCAATATCTTTTAGCAATTCACCGTGGATTCTTACTATTAATCAATATGGTGATATTGCCTACCCTGCAATGATTTATATTAACTTCTCGACGGTGAGTTCCATCCATACAAACGAAATCATAGGAATATGAATGTGTTTTTTCTACTTAGGGGCATGTCTACGTGAATACAACACTGACGGATATTGATTTTTGGATTAAAACCGCAAGACTGGGATTAGTAACACCTTTTTGTACGAAAGAAGAGCTTCTGATAAGCATAAAATAATCCGTAATCTTTTAGACGAGTTACCCTCAATGGAAACTAATGACGGACCGACACAGGAAGCAATTGATTTCATAAATCAAATGAATGACGACCAAATACTCGAAGAATATCGTTTGATTCATGAAGAAAGTGAAAAAATCAACGAACATGGATTAGGTACTTCTCAAATAATGATCAGTCATTCCATTTGTGAATACACTTTCTCTTCTAGGATTCGATACGAATGGTTTACCTCTGGAACCGAATACTTAATCTCGATATCTGTATCGTTCTCTTACTCGATTTTCATCACAAATAAAAAAAATATTTATCAGAAGATGTAAAATGATACGATTCAAACATTGATACATCAATTTCTGCAAAGGATTCACTATGAGTACTTACAATGAAATAATTTCAATAGTTTATAGTAGATAATTTATTAATCAATCATTTGAATTATTGTACATGTAAAAGCGACAATACATCTCATCGAAAGACAGGTTCACATGCAGAAAAACTGAATATGAATAGACAAAAATTTATCACCAATAAATTGCTTCACAGTCGAATATGCACCGGCATTAAAACCGTTGTTTTTGTATCTTACTAGCCAAATCATTTGATCGATTATTATTCGACGAATAACTATTAAAAACTCCCGTATTATCAATCGCACGGCCATGCGTTCTCCCGTGGTAATTCGGACGTGCTGGTTCACTGTACGGCATCACCGACGCTAGTTTGCCCGGCTGATTCGAGTTTATATATGTAACATATGTTGGCGTGTGATAAGCCGTTATCATTGGACTTGACCTTTTCTTCTGGAGGGAAAGATGTTCGACATCATCGGAATGTATAGAAACTTGAGCTAACGATTCTTGATCGAGCGATTTTGCCGTTGATGGTCGGCTGAAGTTGCGCACCTTCTGATAGATTGAACTGCGCATAGAACTCCATTTGGCGGTATTCCAAATTTCTGCAATGCCGATTTTCGTCCAGTAGAAATGCATAAGGAACGCGCAAATACCGATGAGAACTATATGAAGGAGAAATTCAACAATGAAAATGAAAACGAGCCTTTTGTGTTCAAATAATGGAGTACAAACCGACGAGAACGGTTAAAACAATAATTACAATAATATCAGTTGTTAAATAACTTTCCGCCATGTTTAACTAGAAAATATTTAGAAGTGTAGCTGTTGTTTTCCAAAGCACTTTAATAAATGCTTACGTATATAATCAATGACGTCGTCGAAGCGTTCTGCTCGTTTAAAGTGCGATCAAAACGTGTTAAACTAAAACACAAACTTTTCAATACGATCGATATAGAAACGAATAGTTTTGCTTTTTATTCGAAGACGCACATAAACAGTGTGCTTGTCGTAACACTTTGTAATAATTATCAAAAATGTGTCAACAGACATATTAACCTTGAATTATGCGAAGAAAGACGAAAACGAGCGAACAAATGAGTTTCACGCTTGAAATTTATATCAGTGTTTGGTACTTAGAAGATCTATTTTGACAACAATTGAATATTCCGGCTTCTATTTCTAATCACTACTCTTGAAATGCAGTAACCAAGGTTAGGAAGACGTAGAAATGAGCAACTTATTTGTTTTCAAGCACTCGCTTGTAGTACGATTGCTGATTAATCCTTTCTTACCTTTTGATATCTCTAGTCGTTCGATGTCATTTGATTACACATACTTGGATGTGTTACCTACTTTCAATCGTCGTCAAAGATATTCTTTTATGTAAATTATATTTGAAGAAGAAGAAGAGAAAGAAAAGAGAAAAGTTGTCGACTAGGAAAAACTCTCCGAGTTATTTTTTTGGAAAAATATCGTCAGAAAGAGAAGAATGTACTTTTCTCATGTCAAAATGCTATGAGAACCTTTTATCATTAGATTTTTGTATATGACGACAAAATCAGTATATAGTCATTATTGATCTCTTGCGTTCTTTCAGACAATGTTTTTGACATCGTTAAAAGCTCAAGGTTATAGTTCTATTTGCTGTTATTATGTTTTGTATTTAATCAAAAACAACAAAATATATATATTTTTGTGAGTTGACTCAGAGATACTTTCGAAAATATCAAATAATAAACCAGAAGAACGCCATGGATTAATATATCGGGCAATATTAGCATATGATTCATCGGTGTCATTTCCCTTTTGAAAGAAAATTCTTTTTTTGTACATAACAACAGCTGCACATAAAAGATTAATGAACCATGTTGATTCTCTTTTATCGAACAGTTGGGAATAAATATTTGTGTGGGGGTATAATCAGGTTTGAACATGCATGGCTTTCATTTTGTTTATGAAAGATCTGTCCGGAAGATAAACTCATGGTTTTTATGAAAAGTAATAAGATAATGACTGACTGCATCAGTTGATAGTTATGATTTCGAGTTTGTTTTGTTGCTAACGTAGTTTGTTATTTTTCTTTTTCATTTCGAGAAAAAGAGAATAAAGCAACAGACAGTTCTCTTTCATCTACCAAAAACGTCTACTTTTCTTAATGTGTGTGTGTGTGTGCGCATTGTCAAAAGAATGAAAGAAGAAGAAAAAAGAAAATAAGAATTGCTGCATTTCTCAATCGACTCGTAAAGTTTAAAAAACCATTGACATGTCAGAATTCCAGTCGGATGTATCGTCCTACGAAACAACTAGTTCAAATCTGCCAGCACCAATCGATGTTGAACTTTCACCTCAAGGAAATGTTTTCGTTGATTGGAGCCAGTTAGCTCGACCGGCGAATGTTCGACATTGTATCATACATTACAGAAGTTTAAATAACAATCAAGTAAACAAATGATTTTCTGCTAGAATGATGTCTCTTGGAATTTTCTTTTTCGATTAGAGTCATACGATTCGGGTATCACGAAAGAAACAAAATAGTTATTTGAGAAAAACTCAACCTGGCCATCTGTATGAAGTTCGTGTTTGTGCTGTAGATAGTTCGGATCGAATTATTGCCGCAAGTCAATGTGCACAGATTCAGACGAGAGGAGAAAACGAAGGTCCTAGATTACGCGTGACGTAAGTGTACTGAAGGGTTGCTCGACAAAATCGATGAATTTGTACTTGAATAGAGAAGCAACACCGGACTATGTTTGGTTAGAATGGAAGAAGTCGGACGAAGTTCATGTGACTGATATCAAAATGTATAAATTAGTGGTCAACGGGGAAACGAAAGTCATATTACCATCGGAAGAAACTCGTTACGTTGTCAGCGATGGTGATGTTGGCGAAAAATATGTTTTTCAAATCGAAGTCAGTTGAATATTCAATTGAATTGAATGAAAAGATTGTGTGTTTCTCGCTCTTGCAGATGCTTCGTAAAGATGGTAAGATTGCTTCGTCAGTACCGGTACATGTCACATGGCCTGGAGTGACGATTCCAAAAACTCAAGCGATTTGTCATGCTTGCAAAGAGTTGATGATTAGTTGGGGAGATTCAACCTCTATCAATGATGGAAATACTGAATCCTATACGGTTTGTTTTGCTTTTGTATATTTCCGTGAAGAAAGCGATTTGTTTTGAATGAATAGTTACATTTGTTCGATTCAAAAGGTGAATTATTGACTAAAGTCGGTCCGAATTCTCCTGAATGCCGTGAAGTTTGGATAAAAGATGTGGACAAAGGTGTTTATACGTATATTCTTGAAATCAAACTTGCTAACTCGAATAAATCGGTTTACTCCAAACCGACACGAGTGGAATGTGGAAGTGATTCAAGATTGCCTATATTGACATACAAATATTCGGATTCTCTGGAGAAAAAAGAACTCACTGATTTGGCTCATCATTTAATCAGTGCACGGGATAAGTAAGCATTGAGATTGATCGAATTCGAATGCAAATTGGCCATTCTCTAGTACAAAATCGAAAACTTTAATCGATCGATGTGAACATCAACTACAACAGATACTTTCACTACTATCTAGATATACAGGTTTTGACTTTATTCAAAGAAAAAACTTCATCGATCTTTTCTCTCATTAGAAAAAGTTCGAATCAATTTAAAGATTCAATCAAACTCAACTGAACATGTACTTCAGACTTATCGATTAATCATCGATGGTGTAGAACTCGACAAACCCATACCGGGAACAGTCAAACAATACCCGTTAGAGGTAAGATTGAAGCGCCATTAGTGACTTACCTTTTTCTTTGATTTAGCTTGCACGCCGAGATGAACCTTACGAATTGGCCGTTTCAGTAACACCAGCACTGTACGGAACACAATCAAAACCAATTTTACTGGAAGCCTCTGGCTACCTTACATTCTTTTGTACACATTTTGATCAACATAGATCTTCCACAGGGTATGTACACTCGAACTGCTGCCATAAGGGAGCACAGCTTGTACATATCTTCAATCTCTTCTATTCAAAGTTGTGCCTATTTGGATACCTTATCTTATGAACAACAACTTAGACGTCCAATTCACCAAGGTTTATTGAAAGTCGCACAAGCCATGGAAACTATTGACTTATATGATTTGCGTGCGAATAAAACCATTCAGGTCCCGTCATTTCGCAAAGAGCGTCGATTGACAATACTCTTCTTCTATCTCAACACATGTGTACCAGCACGACAGCAGTTGACATACTTTGCCGACTACGCATCGCACAACTCTGGAAAGGTAAGTTCCTGATTTTCTCCATCTTCCTACTTTCATTGAAATTCACATTCTTTTTCAGTATATTTACACATCCATTCATTGTCTGAAACCAGACTACGACGAGCTGAAAAATTTCCTTCAAAACTACAAAGATATTCAATGTTACACGGAATTTGCACCTGAGGACTTTGAAAGTAAGTGAATTCCATTCATTTTCACTGCCGAATCTCTACCATATTTCGAAATAGATATCGAAAAAGAAAATGATAAACCTTTGCACGAAGCACTATCCCTTGAAGGTGTACCAATGTACTTTGTTTTGGATTTTGCCGGTAAATATCTGCTCACTTCCAGATAGTAATCACCGTCTCCTCCTTCTGCCTTTTCGTCATAGGGCGTATCGTCTGGAGAGGGCGTATTTGCGCCCAAGAACAACCGGAATACAACGTACATATGGATCACATTCTTTCCGAAGTCAATACAAACCAATGCCCGTCACCAGACTGTGAACTTTGTCGCTACTGTTCACTCACTGATGCTGATCTAAAAGAGGATCTGACAGGTATCGATCGATTTGCCTTCCTACACCATTCCTACTCTCATCTGTCTAGAAATCGAACTCAAATATAAC